CCCCCCCCCCCCCCCCCGGCTTTTCTTATGGCCGCGCCACACGGCATGTGGAATCCTAGTTCCCCGACCAGGGATATCGAACCTGTGCCCCCAGCAGTGGAAGTGTGGAGTCCTAACCACTAGACGACCAGGAAAGTCCCCGGCTTCTAGACTTTTGAGACCTTGCTTCCATGTGTAAATTGAGTAGAATTTACTAGAGAGATGGAAGGCGGGGTTTACATCCCAGTAATAGGGAATAAATTTGATGGGAATGGATGGGTTACTATCCAACACTAACCTGGCCCCTCTCCCCTTCCCTGTCTCAGCTTCTCTCCATCAGGCTGGCTTCTCTTTCCTGGTCTTATCTCTCTCCTCCCCTCTCTCTGCTCCCCCTCCACTCCCCTTGCAGGAGCAGAAGCAACAAGGTCTTCCTCTAATCTCCAGCCTCGGCAGGCTTTCCTCCTCTGGAGCCCAGGTGCCTGCAGCATCCAAGCCCTCGAGGTGTCATCCCTCCCTACAAGCCCCTCAGCGGCTTTCCCCCAAGGAGACAGCTCCCTCCTTCCCCTTCCCAAAGAGGAATCGTGGGGTCAGCTGTTAAGATTTAACAAAAAAATTTTTTTCACATCTTTACACGAGATCGGAAAATCTCTTAAGTTTAAGATGGTACCCGGCTGTCCTGTGGTGTTTATATTTTTTCATTGCTTTGTTCTGTATGGAATTTTGTTATAATAACTAATGGTAATGGGCATTTCTTGATATTTACATAATTTTAATAAACCACCTTCAAAATCACAAAGCATTAGTGATCAGATCTAGGCTTTATTCCCATCTTCTATCAGTGATTCACTCTAAAAGGTGGTTCAATGAAGCAGCTATGATGAGGCAGTACTAGAATTAAAAGGGAAATCAGGTACCCTTGTGAGGGGCAGGCTTTGAGAACTCAAACCTAATAATAATAGAAAACATTACCAACTCACAGCAATATACGTGGATTTGAAACTGTTTCCTGGAGAATGTTTCTGATATGGGGGAGAACTCTCATATTTGAAGGCTCTAAGTAATGACAGGCAAAAAGTGAAAATGTCTCAGTGGCCTGACAGCCACACCCTGGAGAGATGGCCTAAGGAATATTCTTTGTACTTTACATCCGTGCTTTTTTTTTCCTTCCAACTCTTCCATTAAAAAAAAAAACAAAACATTTATTTATTTATTTTTGGCTGCGTTGGGTCTCCGTTGCTGCACACGGGCTTTCTCCAGTTGTGGCTAGTGGTGGGCTTCTCTTGTTGCGGAGCACGGGCTCTAGGCGCACGGGCTTCAGTAGTTGTGGCTCGTGAGCTCTAGAGCGCAGGCTCAGTAGTTGTGGGGCAAGGGCTTAGTTGCTCCGCGGCATGTGGGATCTTCGCGGACCAGGGCTGGAACCCGTGTCCCCTGCATTGGCAGGTGGATTTTTAACCACTGTGCCACCAGGGAAGTCCCCAACCCTTCCATTTCACAAAGCTTTAACTTCTCCAAGTATCACATACCCCTTTGCCACTTAGAGGGGCAAGGAATACTCCAGTGTTCAGGCCTCAGGTCCTTCCTGGGCTTTGGTGATCTGTCCTTCTCATCCTGGCTTTATAACATGTTCCCCTAAGTTTGCCTAGCCACCTGTTTCTCGAGTTCCTCCTGAATCTTCCTAGATAAACCTGTCTAAATGATGCAAGGATTTTCTATCTAATGAATATGGGATTTTCTCCACTGCAATCACACCCAGGCTGTGTCTACCACACTCTCCCTACAGCTGCACTTGTTGGAGTTTTATTTACTCCCTACTTTTCTTATGTCCCCTAATTGAATTTCCTCAGTACCCATTTCCTCTCCTCTCAGGCCCCACTGCCACTACTTTTTCCTTTTCACAATCACCTTGCCTCATCTAGGAGGTTGCCCTTTTCCTCTGAGGGATGTGGTGGGCAGTGAGGCAAACTGGCACCTCGGGGGGAGGGGGACTTAGCCACCTGCAGCCTGTGATCCAAACAGCAGGCTTATCGTGGACACCACTACGGAGTCAAAAATCCTAGCTCACTTTTGGAGGGTTTAATTATGCCTTGTGCTCCTCAGAACTAAGCAGAAACAGGGATTCTCTTTTTTTTTTAACCTTTTTTTTCTTTTTTCTTTTTTTTTTTGGCCTCGCCATGAGGCATGTGGGATCTCAGTTCCCTGACCACAGATCAAACCCACGTCCCCTGCAGAGGAAGTGCGGAGCCTTAACTACTGGACCAGCAGGGAAGTCCCCAGAAATAGTGATTCTAATTAGCATATTTACAGAAACAATACAAGTAGATCGATACAATTGTACACTTCACTTATTAATAGCTTAATGGTTCTCCATCATTGTTTAATTTGCCCTGGCTTCCCTTTCAGCTTTAATTAGCACAACTTTTGAAGTTGTTAATTTATAATGACTATTTTCACTTAAGCAAGGCCTGCTAGTGTGTGCCAGATGGTAAACATCAAAAACCCAGAGCGAAGGTTTCTGTTTAGCCTTTGATTTTTGTTTTGTTTTTATTAAGCCAGAGAAAGCTTCGATTGTGCTGATAATTTGTAAGCGTACATCACCAACTTTTATCTTCCTTCAAATTCTCTGTTCTCCCCCAGATATGTCTTCTACTTCTGGCCTAGGAGGGGCCAGGGAACTAGGCAGAAGCATGCCTGAATGGCTTGGGTGATAAACCTCATAAAGTTATTTTTCTCAATTAATGGTTTTCACTGACAATTTTACTGCTCTATTTTAAGCTTCCCCATACCCTTGGGCATCTGTACATATGTCTGTGATAAGCCTCATCCAGTCCAACAAAACTGGCTCCTCAGAATACAGACTACCATATCTTAAAAAGCTCATCTCTCTCTTTGGAACATAACACTTGAAAATGCATTTAAACAGAAAGTAATTGAGGTTTAAAGGAGAACTATAAAAGTGATTTATTCATGAGTACACACTTATTCCTCTCCCAATTGACACCCATTTTATATTAATTTTCCTCGAGTGTGTATCTGCAGCCTTTTTCTAAATCTTTACTACTAATAGAAACTGTTTATTCCACCCTTATTCCCTTCAACTTTGCTCCAAAGAATCTCATATGTGCTGAAAGGGATCTATTGGGGGTACAGAACCACAATTTGGGAAAGTCTGCTATGAAATAATAATGCTCCCTAGTCATAGTCACTGACTTTTATAGGTAGTCAA